ATTATTGAATTTGGTTAATTATTTGATATAGTTTTGTTGAAATTGTTGTTGAAAAATAATTGTTAAAATTATTTGCTGATTATTTGATGTAATTTGGTGGACTATTTGTTGAACTACATTTTTTATAGAGTTGTGATTAATCTAAATAGATTCGATGGTAAAAGATTATCCGCCAAATTTTCTAATACCACCCATTTATGCCATATCGCACCTGTGCTATCACCCTCTCTCATTTTTCTCCTTCATCTTTTCTCCGGATGATGACTTTAACTCTGGTGTCTTTCGCCGACTCCAATATGATGAGTCAGGTTGATCTCCCTTTCTCTCTCCCCTTCTTTTTCTTCTCTGACCCCTCTCCCACTCAAAATCTCTCAGAGCACACACACCATCATAGCCAAAGTCTCTCATTTCTCTCATTTTCTTTTATTTCCTCTGCAACTCTAGTAACTAACACACTTGCGAACACACACACACACACACACCTACACCAGCAACTCACACACGCTAACACACATGCAAAAACTCACACNTATTTCCTCTGCAACTCTAGTAACTAACACACTTGCGAACACACACACACACACACCTACACCAGCAACTCACACACGCTAACACACATGCAAAAACTCACACACACACACACACATATGCATCACACACAATTGGATATTGAGGCAACACACTCACTTCATAGATTCACAATCACAATTTTTTGAATGTTTCATTATTTATTGTTTCTTTCGTACTCTCATTTGAGTTTCATATCAAAAGGAGGGTTAGATGATGTGTAAAAAAAATTCATCGCATTTTCCATAATTTGATTTTAATGAACTTTGTTTTTGGTGTTTAAATACGAATTTTTTTCCATAATTTGATTTTAATGAACTTTGTTTTTGGTGTTTAAATACGAATTTTAGTTTAATGTGAGTTGGGATTATAGAACCGATGATATTTAATACTGTTTTATAGTATTTAGTTTAATTGGTTATGATTATGATTTTCGGTAACTAATTGATTTTTCTTTTTCTTAATCATGAGCATATGAATTTAATGGCATCAAGCGATCATCTTTTTAACCATCAGTCTTTGACATTTATGTTGTGTAATTTCTCTTTTAAACAATTTCATAGACCTGAACTGGTTTACTACGTTTTGTTATTTTACTATTTGGTTATTTAAACAATTTCAGGAGGAAAGGACCCAAGATCGCTCTAAAATCGTTTAGGAGGATGGGGAAGAGGAAAATTGCAATAAAGCATGTGTGAAGATTGCTCTAAAATCACTCGAGCAGGTTTCTTGGTGCTTGGTCATAACTATGGAGTTGGGAAAAATTTAAATTCGAGATGCCACCGCAACTTCGCAGCTAGGTTTAACTTTGAAATATAACTTTGTTTCCCTTTGTTTTTTTTCTAACTTTAGGTTGTGTTATCTTTTCTTGAAGTAAAAATGGTTGTGGGGAAAATTTTTTTGGATAAAATATTTGCCTATAGACTTGGGTGCATTTTCTATTGAAGAGTTGTATTGTTTACAATGTTTTGTTTGGGTTTTCTTTTGTATGGTTTGTGATGAATTTTTGGTAGACTTTTATTTGTTGTTGTTTAGGTACTGTGTGCTCTTGAAAGTTGTGGATTGTTTGGTTTGGTTTGATTTAGTCCTTGCTTGGAGGATTTACTAAGAGTAATTTTTAATTGAGGATTATTTTAGTTAATTCATAGTTATTTTTGTTGCTTTGTGTGTTTTTTTTTTGGTTGATATATATCGTTTTGTTGTATGATTGAAGTTGTTTGAGACTATAAATTTTTATGAATTATTTTTAAATTTTTTGAAAAAATGGTTGTACTGTACAATTTTTTGTTTGAACTGTCACTTTTTCAATTATTCATTTGGTACACTTGTTGTGGTTAGTTCATATAGGAGCAATAGTTTTCAGTTGCTTTAGATTCGTAAAATGATCATATTGTTCACATTTTAATCACATCCATTTCATTTGGTCCTTTATATAGGTAACACAAATTTGATTTGTAGGCCTTAATTTAAAACATACAAGAAAAATTAATTTGATTGACTTAATTAACCTTCATCAGGAATGTTATACAGGATTCATAGTTTATTTGTTTAATTAGCATTTTATAGAGGGTGGACTATGTATTTAGCATTTTATAGATTGTATATTTTAGTGGGGTCATGTTTTTAGGAAAAATTATGTCCAAATATTTTAAAAGAATAAAGAAAAATTGATGATTTTTGGTGTAGCATAACATAATGCCTACATTTTTTCTAATGACAGGTTTAACAATTCTTGTAAGTTAACTTTTGATTAAATTAAATATATATGGACACTATTGTTAGTTCTAATTAGGCACGTAGTTTCAAGCATGTGAATTTTATTTGTTTTCAATTTAAAATTATGAGATCTTGATTATTAAAGCTGACTTTTATTCATCTCTTCATTGATCACCCGAATCTCCGTATAGGTAAATATTTTATTGAACATGCATGCGAAGTGGTATACTAAGAATTTAGTTTAGATTGTTAGTAAGGGTGTCAGACGTGTCGGATTAAACGGTAACGTGTCGAATTAAACGAGTGACGGGTGAAAAATATATAAACTCATACACGACACGTTTAATAAACAGGTAAAAAATCTCAACACAAACACAACCCGTTTAATAAACGAGTAACACGACACGACCGGTTTACTAAACGAGTAACACGACACGACTCGTTTAACCCATTTAATTTTAAAAAAATTATATTAACAAATTTTAATATTCCATTTTTTTTATTGCCAATTGCACTTACCTCAAAAAAAAAAATTTTAGTCAAATCTCATAAAAATAAGACTTGAATGCCTAAAAAAAAAAAAGTATGAAGTCATTACTTTTTATAGACAACTCAACCCTCTCTATCTCCCCTCATTTTTCAATGTGGGACAAATATGACTTGAAGACTCAAAAAAAAAAGTAAGAAAACATTGCTTTTTATAGGCAACTCAACCTTCTCCATCTCCTCTCATTTTCCAATGTGGGACAAATAAGACTTGAAGGCTTAAAAAAAAAAAAGTAAGAGGCCATTGTTTTTTATAGGCAACTCAACCCTCTCCATCTCTCCTCATTTTTCAATGNAAAGTAAGAAAACATTGCTTTTTATAGGCAACTCAACCTTCTCCATCTCCTCTCATTTTCCAATGTGGGACAAATAAGACTTGAAGGCTTAAAAAAAAAAAGTAAGAGGCCATTGTTTTTTATAGGCAACTCAACCCTCTTCATCTCTCCTCATTTTTCAATGTGGGACAAATAAGACTTGTCTTTGTCTTTGAAGTGTTCCTCATCTCCTTTCTTTTGTCTTTGAACTACTACTTTAGTTCTNTGTGGGACAAATAAGACTTGTCTTTGTCTTTGAAGTGTTCCTCATCTCCTTTCTTTGTCTTTGAACTACTACTTTACTTCTTTTTTTATTAATTTTTTTACTTCTTTTTTTCTTGCTAATTTTTTTAAATAATTATTAATTTATTATTATATTAATTTTATTTAAACGGGTAAACGTGTAATAAACGGTTTAACAAATCTCACACGAACACGACCTGTTTATTAAACGTGTTTGGCATGTCAACCCGTTAAGATCTCATCCAAACCCGCTTAATTCGTGTCGATTTGTGTCGGTTAATCGTGTCGTGTCAAATTTTAACAACCCTAGTTGTGAGCTTAATGTGTGTCCATGTTCGGTGCCTAGTTTTTTGTATGCATGATTAATTTTTTATTTCTTTAAATGGCACAATGCCTTCAGACACTAGTTATTGTTTTTCAGTTATGTATACAGGTTGATATTTTCATTGTCTCCGATTTTGAAAGGAAACTCTAGCAAAATTTTATAAAAATAGCAAGTTATTATTAGATTGATTTAACTTTCTTTAATTAAATGATATAAATGATAACTTATATCAACTTAACCGGATTTGCGTGAATTTTTATTTATTCTGTGTTTAGTATGGTGAACTAATTTCACGTTTATGGGGATATCTTTGGTTTGATGTGAAATTGCTAGTTTTTTTGGTTGTGGAAATGGATCGCTGATTTTAGATGATTGTTTCGTTTGTTTCTCGATTTTATATACATGTTGATATTTGCATGGTCTCCAATTTTCAAAGGAAATCATGTCGAAATTTTTAAAAAATATCGAGTTATTATTAGATTGATTGATTTATGTGACCAAAAAATTTTTTTACTAGATTGATTTAACTTTGTTTAATTAAATGAAATGAAGAATAACCTATATCAAATTAACCAGACTTGTGTGAGTTACAAAATGCCTACAGGCACTGGTTGTCTGTTTTAATTTTCTCTTTGTGTGTCTTGATGATAGTTTTTTCTTTGCGTGTCTGTTGTATTTGTCTCGAGTTTAATAAAGTGAACCAATCACACGTGGTGATTAGTTTATTTTGATTATAATTGATGGTTGTTTAGTTATTAGGTTCGAAATGATAATTTTTGGGAGAATTTTGATTGTGAATTTTAAATTTGATTATATTGTGCATTCAAAAGACTCTGAATTTTGTAGACAAGTTGTGATTTTCATAAGCTCTTNGAACCAATCACACGTGGTGATTAGTTTATTTTGATTATAATTGATGGTTGTTTAGTAATTAGGTTCGAAATGATGATTTTTGAGAGAATTTTGATTGTGATTTATGATTATTGCTATGTAGATTGTGAATTGTGAATTTTAAATTTGATTATATTGTGCATTCAAAAGACTCTGAATTTTGTAGACAAGTTGTGATTTTCATAAGCTCTTATTTTTAGGACAAGCTCTTCCGAAATAGTTTACAAAAAATATTTAGGGATTATATTGATTTCAAATTAAAACAAATTAAAATAATTTTCTTTTCAAATAAATGGATTGATTTACATTACTCGTCTCCCTACACTGTAGTATGGAGTCTGGACAAAATCCCCAAAGTCCAAAAAATGGTGAGTGTGAGAGTCTTCTCAGGCTCCGCCTCACCGCTCACTTCCTTCAACCACGTCCGACGTATCCCCTGTCCGCACACNCAAAAAATATTTAGGGATTATATTGATTTCAAATTAAAACAAATTAAAATAATTTTTTTTTCAAATAAATCGATTGATTTACATTACTCGTCTCCCTACACTGTAGTATGGAGTTTGGACAAAATCCCCAAAGTCCAAAAAAATGGTGAAGTGTGAGAGTCTTCTCAGGCTCCGCCTCACCGCTCACTTCCTTCAACCACGTCCGACGTATCCCCTGTCCGCACACTTCCCATCCGACAATATCACTCACTTCAACCAAGACCCTGCAGTCTGCCGTCCACGTCAGCACAGACATCGCCGACACAATGGTCAACCCCCACCCGTCGCTCGAAGTGATCGGAGGTGCCCTGGACTCTTTCCTCCCCGCATTCAAAAACTTTGGATCGTCTTTACAATACATATCCCATAATTGGATGGAATCGGCATGCCGAGACCATTCTCTTCCTGACGTTCGATTGGATGGAATCAGTAGACACACGCACGCATGCACAAATTCTGCGATTGGTTTTTTTAATCTGGCACTGTTGCTGGGGGTGAATTGCTAGTTATAACTACTGATACGTGTATATAATGGGTTATAATTGATTTTGCAGCCAGGTCTTACTGGGGGGAGTGGGGATACTTATGTGAGGCATATGCTTGTCAGACCTAGAAGTAAGAGGTGGCGGACTGTGGTGTTCAATAGCCGAGGCTGTGGAGATGGCCCGGTGATAACATCGCAGGAATTTTCGTGCTGCTACAATATTCTGGCTTGAATGGTCAAACTTTGCCACTGATGATTTGTGTTTCGAATTATAACTGGCTAATTTTTGCAGTTCTATTCAGCTTCATTTTTAGGAGATAAGGGTGAAGTTGTGGCACATGTGGGCAATCGTTACCCAAAAGCTAATTTATATGCTGTTGGCTGGTCTCTTGGAGCGAATATTCTCGTTCGCTATTTGGGAGAGGTAAAATAACTAATTCAATAGTTTCTTTTATTTGCTAAATTCAAGTTTTGCTATTCCCTCAAATCTATAGCTAGGAAGTGCGAACACTTCATTTTTGTCAGTGTTGGTATCGGACACTTCTGGGACACGGACACGCTAGGACATGTGTCAAAAATGTTAAAATGAGTGTTCAAACTTTTATTGTTAAATTTTTTTTAGAATGCATTTTGACCACGTTGGGGACACGCAACTGACACGCTAATTGGGACACGCTCAAAGACATGTTTTGAAATTTTCTTTTCAAATTTTTAAAAATTTGTCTAACAACTTTATAATTAATGAAGTTATTATTGTTTTTTAGAGAAATATGGGTTAAATGCGTAATGTAGAAAGAACTATAATCACTACATGAACATAGGACATGGATATAGCATAATTTTGGAAACAACTACAAAATTATATACAAATGGAATAAACTTTCTATATGAAAGCAATGTGATGAAAAATAAATTATAAAATTAGGGTTTTTTGAAATTGATGAAAATTAGAGTTACAATTTAGAATATTTTTGAACATAGAAATTGTAGTAATCATTGATTGTTAGGTCATGAATATTTATGATGAGTGCATATCAATATATGTGATATTGATTTTTTTATTTGGTGATATCATGATGCACAGTTGTTAGAATTAAAGAAATAATGAATTGAATGATTATTATCAAAATATATTTATTTTATCACACACACACACACATATAATATAACTAGATAAATACATAGTGTTTAACGTGTCACATAGTGTTCGTGTCCTAATTTTTTGAAAAATTGTGTCAGTGTGTCCGTGCTTCTTCGATCTGTAGTACTAAGACAAATCATGTAGTGTTGGTTACACTAAGTCCAATCAATTGTCTCCCATCCCCTCACAACATGCATTGAGTGCATGCTCTATTCTAGTATAATGGACCCACAAGTTAACATCTTATTGGGGGTATCTGAATTGTTACCTTGACCCAGCTATATATGGTATGGAGCCTCCTTACTTGGGAAGCATAGGTATTGAAATTTTATCGAATTATGTATTTGCTTTGCTTCAATACCATAATGCATTATGAGGCACCAGGTGTAGACGATGATGGAGAGAGTCTTGATGGTAGTGGCTTGGGGGGCAGTGACTGATCGTCAGGAATATGACGACTTTCGTCTTTTTGTCTACCTTGTTGTTAGGTCTTATTCTGACTTTTGTAAGCTATCTACAAACTTCATGAAATGAAAGTAAGATAGTTATGAGCATAATAATCCTCGCAGAATTTTTATTTCATAAAATAATAAATAACAAAATATATCAACTGAAACAATAAATGATAAATAAAATCTTCAGGTATTCGGTGTCCTATAAGTGGGCTAAGACTTTCCTGATAGAGTTGGAGTCGCCTCATCCTCTTAGCCCTCAGGAGATTGTTCAGATTTCTCCGAGGGGTTGTTGGCATTCTCTGTCGTCCTGGTCCTAGCCAGGTGGCGGGACTTGTCCTCTGCCAGCAACGTACTGCCTCAACTGGCCACGTTGTATGAACTTCTTGATCTGCCTTTTAAGATCAAAACCGTCGTCAGTATCATGGTCGTGGTCACGGTGGAAGCAACAGTACTTGTTCGAGCTCCTCTAGTTCGAGCCGGTCTTCATCTTCTCTGGCCAGCGTACTGTATGGTCATCGTGTATTTGGAACAGGATATACTCTACGAAAGCATTGAGCGACGTGAAGACTTGTCGCTCTCTCAGAGGCGGGGGACCAAGGTGGTCCGTGACAGAGATTTTCTCTCTCGTATTCCTTTTGTTCTCTACTTTCTGCTTGTCCTCTTCTCGTCCCTGTGGAAGGACCCACCTCGTCTAGCCTTGATGACCTCCTCGGCATTCATATACTTTTGTGCCCTTGACAGCAACTCGAGCATGCTGGAGGGCAGTTTCTTGAGGACGGAAAACATAAAGCTGGAGGAGTGCAGACCCGCAATAAAGGCGGTCAGGGCTACCTTATCGTCTGGCTCCTCGATCTGGAGAGTGTCCTCGTTGAAACGAGTGAGGTAGCTTTTGAGGCTTTCATCCCTATCTTGTTTGATGGTGAGCAAGTGGGTAACAAGCTTTTGATGTTGGCGTACCCCAATGAAGTGGGAGATGAAAATTTTGCTCAGCTCCACGAATGAGTGGATAGAAGAGTGTTTGATCTTTACAAACCATTGACGAGTCGACCCCTTCAAGGTGGTGGAAAAAGTTCTACACATGATTTTATCAGCCACATTGTGGAGTTGCATGAGAGACTTGTAGGTGTTCAGATGATCCAGGGTAGAAGTGGCAAATGGGTGGGTTGGGTTGGTTATGGGTTAGGTTATATTGGATTGTGTTAAAATAAATTCAATCTATTTTTCACTCATGTAGTAAATGGGTTATAACAAGTTGAGTTTATAACGGATTGAGTTAAACCGATTAACCCATAAAACAATTAAAATTCTTAATAGACACACTAGTACATCAAAACACACACACACACACACACATTAGTAGTATTCCAAAATACAAATACACACACACACACTCACACTCACACTCACACTAATACACCAAAACACACACAAATTAATACACTAAAAATATACACACTAATACACAAAAAATACACACACGTATACTAACACAAAAACTAAAATACACACTAATACACCAAAAATATACACATATTAACACAAAAACTAAAATATATTTAATAAAAAAAATACACAAATAATGGATCGGGGTGACCCATGGGATGTGGGTCAACCCATAGGGGTCGTGGGGGTCGACCCATGGGTTATGGGTCAACCCACGGGTCATGGGTCAATCCACGAACCATGGGCGCGATCGACATGTGGGTCATGGGTGGTATATTAGTGTGTGTTTTTGGTGTACTAGTGTGTGTATATTTTGGTGTATTAGTATATATATATATATATATATATATATATATATATATATATATGTGTGTGTGTGTGTATATTTTGGTGTAATAGTGTGTCTTTTTTGGAATATTAGTATATTTATTTAATTTTATTACGTGTGTTATTTAATAAAAAGATAAATACTCAACCTAATGGGTACCCATTTGTAATTCATATTAACCCACTTAATTAAAATGAATGATATTACCCAACCCATTAATTTATGAGCGAGTTGGACGGATTAATGGATAATGAGTTAAGATTGTCACCTCTAATCTAGGGGATCCTTGGTACCGTCCAAAATCTGGATGGCAAGCATCTTGAACTTCAAGGGTAAGGAGTAATTGACTATATCTGCAACGAACGAGGTATTAGTGCACCTTACAAGGTAATTCACCGTCTAAGGCGCCTGTGCCTTGATGGCATTAAGGGCATCACCGAGTTGATTTTGCATCTCTCTGATCTTCTCGTCCCATTGGTTAAGGACGTCCTCCATTGGGTGGTTGTACTGGTTTCCATGATCGCCATATTGGCTTTTTACTTCGTCCTTTTGCGCAGGTACACAAGAAGGAGAAACATGTGAGCTTCCTGCGCCGCGATAAGGAGAGACTACTGGGCGAGGGGTGCCTGGGTGTAACCTTGGGACGTTCTAGCGAGGGGCCTCATAGTGGGGGCTGAGAGGGGATAGGTTGTTGCTCCTCTCCCGTCAGAGGGAGTGGGCGAGGGGCAGTGCTTCCCTAGGCGAGCATCAACTGAATGATCTGATTTTGGTTTACCAATAACTACATGGTCTATAAGAATTGTTGTCTAACGATGGGGGTCGCCTTATCAGATGGCTTCAAGGGTGCGAGGGGAAGCAGAGGGTCCTCCTAGTGGACCGGGTTGTTGTTTCCCGGTTGTTGACTCATCGATTTGGTCATGATTGTCATGGATTAAAAGAGAGTAGAAAACTTAGTCGTTTTTCACAGACAGCGCCAAATTAATAATGCACAAATTGGTCTCGTGTAAGATCAACAGTCGAGTATGTGAAATGGGTGTAATTAATGGACAATAAATAAAGTAATCAATGGCAAAACAGTAAATATGAGCAAACACATAAATATATAGTAGTTCGATCTGGATGACCAACTCCACTCTCAAAAAATGGCAGCGATAGCCGGAGATCTTTATTAATGAATAAAGTAACTAAGAGAGAGCTCGAGGAGAGTATGCTCCGAGAGAGTTACACTTGTTAAGAGAAAGAAGCTATACATGTAGGGAGGTGCAGAGAGGCAAAGCTCTATGCGTTGAGATGTGTGCTAGAAGAGATATCTCTCCATGTGGAGAGAGCTTACAATATATAGGTTTGATAAGGCGGTGACGTGAGTAAGAGGACACTACTTCTTTGGTAAGTAAAATTAAGATAGAATTAATTTTCATGAGTACATAATCCGATAATCTCTCTCACGTGCTCTTATCTTCTCAGACTTTTTGGATTTTGAACTGGATCAGATTGATAAAGGGGACTTAATTTGCCTTTTAGCTGACTTGAACTTGGTTGATTAATTGGGGCTAGCCCAGTTGACTTTGGGCTTGTCACTCATCGTGCCAGTTTCTTTCATCACCCTACTTGAACTTGGATTTAAACTCTTTGGGATGGATGGTTAATTAATTTATTAATTGGTGTTTCTGCACACACACGCACACAAATATTTGTGTCTGAAGGAATTATATAATATAACTAGTAATTATCCGTGTCTGAAGACACTATACAAAAAATCGCAAACAACTACCTATGCACACGATAGCACTATATAACACAAAACAAAAATTCAGAAGATAGAAAATTTCATTGATCCAAATAATATAGATATTATAATTTGTTTCAAATACAAATATGACCCACAATTAAAAGAAAACAAAATTCAATTCGTTGACCAAGCACAACATTTTGAATTCTACCTTCTAAAAAGATAAAGTAAAGGTATGAACCTACCATTTGAAGTTGTTCAGCCACAAAATGATTCACTTCCTCAAAGCTATAATTTCTAATATTGTATTCTCGTCCTGCCAATGAGAAGTTTATATGTACTACACTTTATAATCCCAAATAGTGACAGAGTTTTCAGAGGTAATATTATAACCATAGGACACATACCAATACCTAAATTATTGAAAATCTACATTGTCTTTATTATTGAAACCTCAACCCAAATTAAGGTTCCTCAACAAATTTCCAGAACTTCCACTCCATTGGATGCCCAAATTTCACTTGTATCAATGACAACCATCTTATATTTACATTCTCAGACTAACCATATAAACCATCAAAACTATACACAGCCAATTAGAAGACATTTAATAATCACATACATTTTCATCCACTTCAATACCTGAACAATAGTCAAGCAAGGTACAAACTATTAAGATAAACTCAATTCACATCAAATCGAACCTAATTATAGTAGAAATATATATGTTTATAAAAAAACGAGAGAATTAAACCTAATTTTAAAGCTTAAACCTCCAAAAGGCGAGGATCGGTTTATTTATTAAAAATATAAAGAGGGGGACTTATGACCTTACATACTTAAATAAATACAATAAGACCAAAGTCGCTTATTTGCATGTAAATTGAAATTTCCAAGTGTTGGAACATTGGTTCCTCCATTCTCGAAAACTTTGCATGATTTTAGTTGTCGCATCCTTAAACTATTGTAAAACTTAAGGTTCTCCAAAAATTTCGAGATTGCACTCTATTAATTCCCATAAATTTGACCATCTAGTTACATTTTTCAAAAGAACTCAACTACCAAAAAAATCATCTCCAATCGATAATGAATGGCAAACTTTCATATATGTTGTATCTTTGAAAAATTCCTCCCCTAAAACACCAAAACTGAGTTAAAATTTTATAACTCTTTAGCATTTTAATTTGCAGTCCAATGTATTAACCACATGTAGTTAAGGAAACAATACACAATGGTAAATATCCGATGTATAGTTCACAACATTAAAAGAATCGATTCAAACAACATCCTACTTGGGCCTTATTATCAATTCAAGGAGATGCCCTTTAAATGTTCTAATCAATATAGAACAGTAGCAATTACCCGTGTCTGAAGACACTGTGTAGCAAACAAAAGAAATGCAAGTAAAAGCACACATAACATAAAATATTGCCGATCAATACAGATCCACTTTTTTTTTTTTTTTTTTTTGAAAAAAGTCAACAACACTTCTTCAAATTTCCTCACAGTGAATAGCAATTAAAAAGCCCAAACTATTTATTCACAATATCTACAAAATCAAGTTCAAGTATAACATAAACTGCACATAATGAAAAGTTTAGTTCCAAATTCAGAGATATTAAAACCCAAAATGCATAAGAGAATTTCAAGTACAATACCGTCATATTATTAACCCCAATAATGTCGCTTTTCAGAACCTGACATACTCCATAGCATTGCCTGCACCCAGAATTTCAATATTAGTAAATAAGCAATTATGATAATGATACTCAAGGACCTGTGGTAATAGAAATTGTAATAAATATCAAGATTAATTACACAACATTAGTGGATGAAACAAATTCACAAAATTTCCAACAAACACACTGGAAAAAAAATCAATTTTCAATGAAAACATGTTCAACTTGATTGATAAACTCCATATTCCAAATCCAGTACTTTATTAAGTAGAACCAATGAAAAATGAAAATGGGCAAGTTCAAAGTCATTTTGAGATTAAAAATGAGAACTTTACATACCTGCTAGATAAGAACTTTACATGGCTGTCCATTGTACCAATCCAACTTAGACGACCGAGACTATTAGGATTTTTGCTGGCATTAGATGTGAAATTCGAAAGTGTGAACTTGAGTCTGGGAAACCAAGTGAAGCAATCAAGTGTATGTTGACAAAAAAAAAAAAAATCAAGGAGGCATAGAAGAAACTTGAAAAGAAAGATTGTGTGTAGCGAGTGCGTCCGAGAGATAGAGAGGCAGTATGAGCGGGGATGTGTTGTTGCATGTGTTGTATGTGCATGTGAGTGTGTTGTGTGCATGCTTGAGACAGAATGAGGGAGAGAGAGATAGAAAAAGGGAGTAAGGGAGGGAATTATCAAGAGTTGCTTTGTCGAATTTGTGTGGATTTGTCTGAGTGTGTGTGAAACAGTGTGTCGGTGTCGATTTTTTTGACTTTGTATGTGTGTGAGTTGCAGGAGTTGTGTGTCGATGTGGAGGATTACACCAGAGGGCGAGAAAGGTGGATCGAGTGGTTATGGTGGGGGGAGAGAGAGAGAGAGTACCTGGATGGCGTTGGAAGCAGCGGTTGGTGTTGGAATGGATGGCTGCTCCAACGAAGAGAGAGAGACTGGAGAGACTAAAGAAGTTCACTAAGAGCATTTCCAATCATGACTCAAATTTTTACTTAAATTTTAAGTTAGTACTTGAGTAAAAAGTTTGATTTGATACAAAGGACTCCAATGGACAAACTCAAATTTAAAGAAAGATTAAACCAAAATTTAAATAAGGGCAAACCCAAAATTAAATGAAAGTAAAGATGATCATTGAATGTTTAAAAGAGGGTGAAATCTCACCATTCAAGATTTGGGTAAAGATTCAAGTCTCCTTTAATGTGAGTAAAAAAAAGAGTCTCCCTTGATTTGGTATAAGTTTGAGTAAGGGTTGGAGCAAATTTTTTAGATTTTTTTACTCAAATTTAAATTTGAGTCAATGTTGGAGATGTCCTAATAGAACAGGAAATGAGAGAAGAATTGATAAAAAGGTTGGAAAGAGAGGAAGTGAGAGAATGACAGAGAGTAAGGCTTAATTGGGGGAAAGAGACAGGAATTACTTGACTGCGCCATTTGATTAGGGCACAAAATTAGAAAGAAAATCAAAGATCACACAGATATTACATTCTCTTAAGTAAAGAACAAAGATATTTTCCTAGTTAAATGAGTGACTGCAAGATGAAAATTGAATTTTGGAAAGAAATTGCCAGATTTGATTGGTGAGTGAGAAAGAGAATGGTAGAGTTAGGGCAACTTGTAATTACCGGATTTGATTATTTGACCCGTTGTGTTAATTAAATTTTGGAATATCAATTTTAGAAACAAAAAATTTTGAACTGCAAAAATATTTCAAAAGAGTTAATGTAGTACATCGGATCAAAACGATCTGAGACGTCAATAGCTTGAAACAATTTGAAATAACGCCGTCCGTTGGAAGATGACTTTTTTGATTACGAAACGATCTGGACTGCTATTTGTCTCCAAAATTTAAAATCGTTCTACTTAAGTATATATATATATATATATATATATATATATATATATATATATATATATATATAAGAATTAGTTAATACAGGCAGGGCCGGCCCAATAGTATTAAAAAAAAATCATGGGCTTTAGGCCCCATAATTGCAACTAGTCCATATAAAAATTTTAAATCCATGAAAATTTTAGGCCTTATAAAAAAGAGTCCAAAAAAATTAAGCCCAATCAATGATTTCAATAATTTGCACCTACAATTCAATTCATAATATTAAAAACTCAAAAATCAAAAATTTTAAAAATAAATAAAAAAATTCAAAAATCAACTCATATTTACTCATCTATCTCTCTCTCTCTCTCTCTCTTAAAAAACAAAAACAAAGTATCACATCCTCCTCTCTCACTTAAAAAAATTAAAAATATTTTTTTTTTTAAAATAATACTAAAAATAAAAATGTCTCATTTAGTGTTACCACTTTAGACCTCAATTTACCTTGAGCCGAGGGATGAAAAAGGAAAATTTATGGTACAAACTCTGGGCAACCATGAGAAGAAAAGCTGAAATTGTGATGCTCATCATTGACAGTTCCAGGTTTAGTCAATTAAATGAGAGTTAACTAAATAAATGCATAGACCTAAGAACTTGTCCAAATGATTTGATCTCAATCCACTATGTATGTGATATGCCAATAGTTTATACTTATACTTACCATAAACTATGCCTATTGACAGGGATATCCACCATCCGTTGGTCCATATATAACTGCTGCCTGTGCATCCCATCACCTCGCCATGGTGCATAGTGAAGCTCATATGCTAAATTAAATGTACTTTATTATATTTTATATGCCCACAAACCTTTGTCATTCTTTCAATGTGAGATTGGTGCAAAGATATTTTTTTACATTGGCAAAACTCACGAGTGTTTCACAAAACACCCACTCATAAAATGCTTTATTTTGAAAATCTTTTAACACTATCATCAACTCATAAGCACCACCATTACTGCAACTGTCATCTCACCACAATCAACCAATCGCCATCACCACTACTTTTCTCATTGGCATCTGTTCACCGTTATCATCACTTTACCGTAACTACCACTAAATACCATCACCACCTCCATCACCAACAAACTCTATCATTAATACCATCACCACCTCCATCACCAACAAACTCTATCATTAATACCATCACCACCTCCATCACCAACAAACTTTATCATTAATACCATCACCATCAATCTCACAATTATTACCCCCAACAACCATCTTGGTGGTGGCGGTGATGATGGTGGGGGGGGGGTAGTGGAGGAATGGTGGGTGATGGTATTGGCGGGGAGGACAACGATTATGATATAAAAGGGGGTGGTGGTGACAACTGTGGAATGTTGGTAATGATGGTAGTGGGATGAGGGGGAGGTAGGTAAAATTCAAAAAATAATAAGTTTTATACTTCACTTTGTTGTAGTGGTCAAGTTGTTTATCTAATTAAATGCTTAAATTCAAAAAAAATGAATAATTTTTAAATTAAAAAATTCAGTATTTAACACATAAAATTGGGCATTCAATTTTTAGTGCTTAATTTATAATTTTTGAACAAAAGCTTAATGCATCTTTTAATCAATTTGACATCATTAGTCTCTTATAAAATCATCCTCTCCTGGTCGGTCAATGAATTTACCTAGGAACTCACAATTTCCTACTGTATTTCGAGGAACACACAATTTTGTATCATATACCAAATTTTATATCTTAAATTAGTGTCAGTCTACTAATTTTTACCAAATATTCAATGCACAAGATTTTGACACAATATTTAGGATACAACATTTAGTAAACAAATTTGAAAAGCATAATTTTCTCATATAAAAAAATAAACATATTAAAAAATAAGAGAAATTTAAGCAAGAATATACGTAAGCAATATTAGATGCATCATATATTAGGTCAGATTTTTGAAAAAAATTGTAGGTGAAAAGTGATGAATTTGGGGGGAAATGAGAGGGATATTGGTAGCCGTTGGATGAATTAATTTGAGACTGTAGGATTTGTTTGTTGAAGTCGCCATGTTTTATATTATAGATTGGGTCTGGGTTTGAATTAGTTGAAGAGTTTGAGTTTGAGTTCAATGATGCTTTGATTTAGATTATTGTCTTCTCCTTTGATTTTTTGTGAACTATTTCTAATGCCAATCTATGTATTTTTTCAATGACCTTCGCGACAGGCAACGACCATCGGCAATACAGCTCCAACGACTAGTGACGACACAACTTAAGTGGCTACAGTGTCCTCCTAAATAGTGGTTTGTTTTTTGAGTGTTATTTTCATGGGTTTTACATTTGTTTTGGCAATTTACATTTTTTTGTCTTAATTTGTTTTTTGTAGGTTATCTCGGATTCACACAGTCATGCCATTTTCAATGTCACACCATTGTCAAATTCATCAGTAAGATTTTGTTTGTCTTTTGTAGGTTGTCTCATGTAGCTTGTCTAAACCTTAAAATGTTGCTTTCACTGAGGATTGGGTTTAGGAACAAATATACCTTCATTTTTTTTTTCTCTTTCTCTCATTTGTTTCTCCATTTTACAATACATTTTCCAGTAATCAATCTTTCAATGGCTAATAATTTTATTCCATGCTCATATGCAGAGGATCCGACAAACTTAATTGCTCCATTGATTAGAGGTCAAGCACACGGTGGTCATTCTTTGTTTTCTTGGGGTGGTGCTATGCTTTGCTTACTATCAAGTGGCACCTACCATTAAAATTGGTAAATTTATATTTAAATTTGGTTAGAATCTTCATTTACAACACAACATTTATGAATCAATTACTGCTAATGGTATTAATCATTCTCAATCTATTGAATTGTTGTTTCTTTTTTTTTGGAATTGTTTTATCCATTTAGGTGTTTGATGAATTGCGTGATTGCAAGGCTTTGGGCATTTGGGTGTTTGTTCGACGACTTGCTTTGGAACATATTCTTTGGAACATATTCTTTAGAACATTGCTTTGGAACATATTATTTTCTCTCTTACTACGTTTCTTTAGAAAACAACGTGCTAGAGACAAATCTTGAAGTAATTGTGCATAATTTTGATACTTCATTTGGTTAATATTTGAAGTAATTGGGTTTGGTAATTGCACCTAAATAATAACCCTCATTCATTCCCCAAATGTGCATGAAAATTTCAAGAATTTCTCCTTCATGCATTTTGAGATTTGGGATTGACATTTTTTTTTGGAATAATTAACATTGAGTGAATTACTAATTCGATTAATGTTGCGTAGATTTAGGTCAATTAAGAGATTATTATAGAGGTTGTGGAGGGTAAAAACCTTCTCATTGTTAGTAATTTCTACGAAATTGTAATGTGGGTTTTGTTGATTTATTGGAGTAGACATTAATTTAAAAATAATATGTCATTTTGTTGTGTGATGGAAGTTGCTTGGGATTGAAAAAATTTATGGATTGTTTCTAAATTTTTGAGAAAGTGGTTGTACCAAACAATTTTATGTTTGACATGTCCCTTTTTTAACTATTAGCAATGCACCACGTGCGTTGCACATAAATAATTTTCGTACACAAAACTTAATAACACA